TAGAATAGCACCATCCACAGACAGTTCAAGCCACATCTATAATTTTTATATTCAGTAGTTGCCACATTGAAAAAATAAACAAGAACAGGTATGACTAGTTTTAATATATTTTATTTAATTTGTTATATCCGAATATTGTAATTTTGACATGAGACCAATATGCAATCATGAATAAGACACTCTGTAGCCTTTTGTTAACTAGAAAGGCTTTGAAATTCAGGGTACATTTTATACTTCCAGCACGTCACAGTGCCTGAGCTGCCTCCTGACTGTCATGCTGGAGAACATATGTCGAGGATCTGCATCCTCTGGGTTAGCTTTTGCTGACTCGAGACTTAGAGCCAGATGAAAAGACAGTAATCTTCTGTATGAGTACTAAGACGTCTTCTTTGAAACAGAACTTGGAAGGAAGGCCCTGGAGAGGTGCAGGGTAAGGTGTGACTCCACCTCCCTCAGCCACAATGTGACGAGTGTAACACACTAGGCGAACCGTGGCATGCTGCCCTTAATTAATGCAGAAAAGTGTGACGGGCGCATTTTCAAGCAATCAGACGTAAAATAATGAACAGGGTTATTAGGAACCACACTTTGCAGGGGAATCAAATGGCTTTCCTCCTGCATTTCTGTTTAAAAGAGAGTTCTCTTTTAACATTGGAAAAAAAAAATTGTGCTAGGGGAAAAAAAAAACAGCAAGAAAATTGGACCTGGTGAGTTTTTCAGAGAGGGATGGAAAGAATGAGATCTGGAGTCATTTTTTGCAAGGGAACACTTGGTGCACACTGTACCAAGGCAGGTCCTGGACCCTGGGCCTTGTCTCGCCTCACGAAGTGAATGGCTCCTTGCATGGATTTCCATGGGAAAGCATCTGGGGCATCACCCTAGCATAAGATGCACTGTCCACCTGTCTGCTGTTCTTCTGGTCTAGGTCCATAGCAACAGGGACTGTTGGCTTTTGGGGAATTCTTTCGGGTGTTAAATGAATGCATTCTTTCTACGGACCAACACTGGTTCATCTATTTGTGCAAAAGGAGGATGCAGCCCAGAGTTCCCAGGCAACAGTGGATCTGTCTTGCCATGGTGTGGTTTGGGGTGGGCATTGTGTTGGTGGGTAGGCGGAGGTGAAGAAAGAGCAGGGCTTCTGGTTGGGCTTTGCTAGCCCCCCCGTGGGGTGATGTGAGAGATGCAGAAATGTGCTTACTGTTTTCTCATCTGCACAGTGCAGGACAGGACCAGCCAGCACGGATGGCTCCTGCTCCACTTCCAACTACAAGATTGCTTTATGTGTGTCTTCTCTCTGTAATTTAGCCGTATAAAGTAGTACAGAAAACAATTAAGCCTCTCCCAGAGCGGGTGGACAGTTTCAACTGTTCCCAGTCCTTACAGGTTTCTTCCCCCGGGTTTCCCACAGCGACGAATGTAAAGGAATGGCCAGCCCTTCTCTTGCCTTTCTGCCATTTGTGGAAAACGACACTTTCACGTCTTAAGATGGTTGCTCCCTGCTCCAAACGCTCATGTGGTCAAGAATGCACAAGATAATGAGATAGCAACACTTATCTTTCTCTTAGTCTGGCCTCTGGCCACTCTGTCCTTCCGAGTTCCCTGAGAGCAACTGATGCTATGTGTATTCTAGTGATTGTTTTTTACATCATGGATGGGTGTGTGCTTTGTAACCCACTGTGGTATTTATGAATCCACTTAAAAATGACAAGAGGGCCGGGCGGTGGTGGCACACACCTTTAATCCCAGCACTCGGGAGGCAGAGCCAGGCGGATCTCTGTGAGTTCGAGGCCAGCCTGGTCTACAGAGCGAGATCCAGGAAAAGCTACACAGAGAAACCCTGTCTCGAAAAAGAAACCAAAAATAACTAAATAAATAAAAATAACAAGAGGAACAGAAGTTCCAAACCCAAAAATAACCTTCAGAGATTGTCCCATCATCTGCATATGAAGACCCTGAGTCTCTTCATGGCTGTAGAATGCTCCAGGGTTGGAAATAATGTTGCTTCCTGAAGCAACGGACATCTACACCTTTTATCTTCTGCTGTGACAGATAGTGCTGACATGTCTGTGCTTACACCCTTGCCCACAGATTTACTATATTTGTAGGGTAAAACCCCACAAGTGGGACTGGTGGGCCAGAGGGTGACTGCACTTACCATTTTGGGTTGGTGTTGTGTGATTGCCTCGTAGAAGTGACCACCACCAGCAGCACACAAGTGGGTGTGCCTCCCCCGACGGCAGCCAGCGGAACATGAAATCTGACCTTGATCTTGAGTGTCTAACAGGTTAAAAACGCCGTCTCTGTGTGGCTTTAGTGTGCCTTACTATTCCATGAGTGGGGCCTTACTCATCACTGAGTTATGCCTAGCTCGTATTTCTGCTGTCCAGTCACCCTGACCCTTGTGCATTGAGTCCAAAAGAAACCGCCACCTCTTCCACAGAAGCCTGCTTGCAGAGGGAAGAGCTCCTGCCCTGGGCTGCCACTGGCTGTTCCCCCAGGGCCAAATGCTCTCTATCGCCTCCGGTTCCCATGCCTGCTTGCTCTCTGCTGTTGGCCTTCTCTCTGGCCAAGCCGAGCTACTTCCTCCTAACACTCGGGGTCCTTGCTTCTGGTCCCGGATTGTACCGGTGTATGCCATTTCAGCCCCTCCCTTCCGTTGTCCCCAAGAGAACTTCTCTTCACCCCTCAAAGCCCACATGGAATTCTCATTTCTCCCATGGGCTGATCTAGACCCCCGGTCAGTTGTGCTGATCTGCATTGGGCGTGTTTGTTGTTTGATCGGGGATCCGGCTTTTCTGTTCAGATGGTGATACAGTATTTATTTATAAAGCTTTCTGGTTTGAAGCTCGGAGTTCAGCAGTGCTAAGGAAGCTCACATTGTCCACAGCCGCCACTGCTGTTTCCGGCGCGTCCTCATCACCCTGCGACAAAACTCTAACATTAACCACCCATTCCCTCCCCTAGACCGCAGCAGTCCCTCTTCTATTTTGCCCCCAGGAGGCTGACTCCTCTACCTTCTCCTCAGTGCCTCATACAGCACTTCCTGTTTTGTGTTGGGCATCTTTCACTGAGCGTGTCTCTAAGGTTCATCCACTTTATAGGATAGCAGAATCCCATTCCACTCTAGACCACTCTTCTCGTCACGGATGAACACTTGAGCTGCTTTTAGCTATCGAGGCTAGTGTGCCTGTGGATATCAGCGTATAACTCTGTCCTCAAGTTCTTGCTTTCAACTTTTTGGGTGTATTTGGGAGAGGGCTCATGGGATCAAGCCATGGGTAAGGTGACCTGCTGACGTCCCACGCAACCTAAGTCAGAAGCTCATTTTTTAGTAAAAGGGGGACCTCTAGGTCCCTGCCCCCCCCCCCCCCCCCCCCCCCCCCCCCCCCGTTTTGGGTAACTGTTGCCTTGCTTGCTGACCTTGACATCCTCCCTATGCTAATTCCCTGCTGGGTTCCACCCTCCTGAGTGCTTAAGGGAAGTTCCTTGTCTGTGTATCCTGCATAATGGGCGTTAACAGCTTAGATGCAAGATTGTAAAACATCGGTAGCGAACTTCTGCCCTCCGGGCTTCTCCCATTGTGCTATAAGCCTGTATTTAAGACCTCCTCCCTCCTTCAATAAACGGCATTCAGCATTAAAAAATAAAAATTAAAAAATTAAAAAAAAGATGTTTCAAATAAGAATGTTGAATACTTACCTGGCAGGGGAAATACCATGATCACAAAGGTGGTTTTTCCCAGGGCGAGGCTTATTCATTGCAATCCAGATGTGCTGACCCCTGTGATTTCCCCAAATGCGGGGAAACTCGACTGCATAATTGTGGTAGTGGGGGACTGCGTTCGCGCTCTCCCCTGAAGGAAAAAAAAAAAAAGAAAAATGTTGAAATGTTGACTGGGCATTGGTGGCACACACCTTTAATCCCAGCACTTGGGAGGCAGAGGCAGGCGGCTCTCTGTGAGTTCGAGGCCAGTCTGGTCTATAGAGCGAGCTCCAGAACAGGCTCCAAAGCTACACAGAGCTGTACCATTTTACATGGCCACCTACAGTGCATCGGGACTCCAGTTTCTCCACACCATCACCCATGCTTGCCTTTTAGGGTGTTTTTTTTCCCCCTTCGACCATAGCCATTAACGTGGGTGTGAAGTGGTCACAGCGACCTTGTTTGCTCTGGACACCTGAATCACGAAGTCATGTCTAAACGGCTCAGCGAGCCACGGTTCATTACCTCAGACTCCCTACTTGCCTGGATTTTGTAACCAAGCTCCTCAGATTTCTGGAAGAAAGGCACAGGGTGAGAAGAGGACTTGGGCACTTAAAGAAACAGCCCAGTGGGCACACGGCTAAAACCTTTCTTGGCACCTGCCACATCAGGCACAGTGAAACGACAGGGCTGGGCCACCGCTGTGGTCCCAGCTTGCCTGTGTGCAGCAGCTGAGACCTCCTGCTGGGCCACCGGGCCTGCAGGCTTGTCCTGGCTCCACGCTCACCGGAGATAAATGCGCCAGGCTGCCCCTCTCTTTATGCTCCCTGGTGATGCTTTTTCAACGTTTCTCCAGCCCTTTGATTGGCATGTCCGGCCACCATTTGAAGTAGTTTGCACGTGCCTGAAGCTGGCTTATCTCTTTCATTCTAAGGCAGGTCCCTTTCACTGTTACCTTTGCCAGGGACCAGCCTCGTCCTTCGGAAACCAGTTCGGGAATGTTGCCACATAGCTTTGAAAGCCATGTTTTGATCAGCAGATGTTCCCGAGCCTACGTAGAGAGTTCAGCATGACCCAATCTTCATTTGTGTGTGTGTGTGTGTGTGCGTGTGTGTGTGTGTGTGTGTGTGCTGGTTTTTCTCTAGTCTAATAGTCATGCTTTTGACAGCTCTTACTGTCCAAATTCATTGCTTTTACCCAGAGCTGTAGTCTCTAATGCCAAGAAAACAATTCGTGAATGTGTTAGATTTAGGATGATTTTTAAAAACATTCTATATGACTTTTTCTCTCTTTTCCAGAATTTTGTGCCATCTCTGGCCAGACAGACTTCCCTGACGACGTCGGTGCTGCCCAGTGCAGAGCAGAGCGCGACGTACACAGACTTTATTTATTTTACTGCCTTTGAAGGGAGCGTGCGCAACGTCTCTGAGGTCTCCGTGGAGTATTTATGCTCTCAGCCTTGTGTTGTCAATTTGGAAGCCGTTGTCTCTTCCGAGTTCAGAAGTGGCATTCCCGTGTACAAAAAGAGGTGGCGGAATGAGAAACACCTTCACACCAGCAGGACACAAATAGTGCACGTGAAGTTCCCAAGCATTATGGTGTACCGAGACGACTACTTCATCCGACACCCCATCTCTGTGTCCACGGTGATTCTACGAGCCTGGATTACTCACAGGCACAGTGGTGGGGGCTTGAACGTCCGAGGGGAGGAGAATTTGCTGCACGCAGTAGCCAAGAATTACACCCTGCTGCAGACCGTCCCACCTTTCGAACGGCCTTTCAAAGACCACCAGGTGTGCCTGGAGTGGAACATGGACTATATTTGGAGCCTCTGGGCCAACAGGATCCCACAGTGTCCTCTGGAGAGTGGTAGGTCGCTTGCCTCACGGCAGAGCACCTTCTTGGGTTTTCAGGTGGCCGGTGTCATCAAATGGCAGCCGGTGTAAATTCCTTTTATGAATTATGTGTGTGAGTGTCCCATAGACACCAGAGCACAGTTTTGCATGAGTCATTTCTCTCTCTCTCTCTCTCTCTGTGGGTCTGAGGGATTGAACTCAAGTCAGTAGGCTTGGCAGCAACCACCTTTATCCACTGAGATCGTGCCGGGGCCCCCAAAGCCAATTCTTAAGTTAGCATCAGTAAGACGAGGATAATGGAGAGGTCTATTGTGTCTGTCGTTTTGACAGACAAAAGTGAGTGAATGAAAAAGAATGAAAGAGAGGAGGAAGATGAAGGGAGACTAGGGAGAAAGATGAAAGGCAGAAAGCAGAGGAGACCTTTGAGAGCTTTTGAGCTGCTTAGAAACAGTCATGCCGCTGAAACCAAGTCTGGCTAAACAGCAAGCCCCACAGCTTCTGGTATTTATAGGAAAAACGTTTTATCCTGGAGGAGATGAGAGGGACCCCCAGAAGCAATCCTTGTGCCAGATGGGGAGGTTGTGCCTCGGGGTGGTAGCTTGTGGCTGGGGCCATCCTGTTCGGCCACTTCTGAGTGTGTAGCTAGAACTTGCCCGGCCTCTCTTTCCCTACGTATAAAATAGGCTAATGGATCCTTCCCTCAGACTAAAGTGATGAGTGTTGAGCAAGGTGCGGTTGTTTGGCACATCACCACCCCTCAGCACCAAGCTGCCACACTGATGGGAGAGTCTAAATTCTGCATTTTATCCTAAATGCCATGTGTAACAGCCCACACAGAATCCATACAGAGGCTCCTGGGTCATTCCTCAGCCCCCCTCCACATCAGGACTGGAGGTCTATGATAATCCTCATCTACCTAGGATTGGCGATGGAGTGGACTCAGCATTTGAAATGGATTCTGTTGCACCCACAAATTTCAATCTCAGGGCTAGCAAGTGGAACTGTGGATAGGACTTTGATCTTGTTTTGACTGTGGTCCAACCCCCAGGCTGGCTTGGCAGGTGCAGGAATTCCACAGCCCGTGACAATAGGCTTTTCTACAGTCTGTTCCTGATACCTGGTCTTCTCCAGATCTGGTATGGGAGAAGGGCATGATTCCATGTTCCTCCTCTAGTGACATCTCACCTTTGAGATATGATTTCTGGGGAAACAGTGGTTGGGGTAGTTTCTTGGTAAGGTTCCAAATTGGCTTTGTATAGAATAAAAACGTGCGCATGTATGTGTATGTGTGTGTATGTGTGTGTGTGTGTGTGTGTGTGTGTGTGTGTGTGTGTGTGTGGTTGTATAGGATCTCGGTTCTTGCTGCATGCGTTAAACAGTTGGCATCTTGAAAACTCTTTATTTGACTCTAATTATAGAGTCACAGGAAATTGTAAAAATGGTAGAGAAAGTCCCTTGTGCCACGGCCCAGCTTCTCCTAATGGTATTGCATTTTGTAATCACAGCACAGTATCAAAGCCAGGCAACCAGAGTGGCTGAACATTGTTAACTGTAGCCTGAATTCAGGTTTCATAGTATTTGCATTTGTGTGTGTGTGTGTGTGTGTGTGTGTGTGTGTGTGTGTGTGTGCATTGTGAGAAGAGCTTGGTAATTAGATATCTGGAACACGGGAGCTGTGTGCCCCTGGCTAATGGGTGTGCCACCCTCCTCTAGGCAGAGCCCTATGCTAGTGCCTGTGTGGAGTGCCTTCCACAGGGATTCCTAATTTGTCAAGCCGAAGAGAGCACAGGGCACACACAGCCACAGTTTTGCTTTGCCTCTGACTTCATCAGGGCTTAATGATTCCATTTCATGTTTTGCAAATGTATATATTTCTCATTGAAAAATGACCAAATTGCAAGCGGGACGCCTTGAAATGAAATCATTTATAAACCGGCTCGCTCTCAGGGTGCCCTGAAAATGGGAGCCGTCTTTCCTTTTCTTCCGTTGTTCCCTGCCCTGTTGGCAAGGCCCAGGAAGGGCACAGTGGGAATTTTCTACCCGCCTTCTTCAGAACATTACTTTTGGTGTGAGAACCAATCTAATCAAATCATAGCACAGAGGAAAACCTTTCTGAGGAGTTAAAAAATCACTGAACACGGAGGCGGGAGTTCCTTGCACTCTCAAACCCGCTCTGCACCTGTAGCTGTGATTTGTTTACCAAAATGAGACCATTTTCCCTCTTTCCTTAAGAGAGAAGTCACCTTAGTGGAGAGAGAGCAGCGGGCTGTGGAGGTGCTTTGACCTTTGTTCTGGATGGGGCTATGGGCTGGTGGTGGTGGGGGGAGTACGCTGGGCGGGGCGGGGGCGGGGGCGGGGGCGGGGGCGGGGCAGGGGGCGGGGCCCGGGGGCGGGGCGGGGCCTGGGCAAAGACCTTGTTCTTAGCGGAGCTCTTCGCACTTGCTTTGCTGCCTGGACAGTCAGCTAAAACACAAGAGAGTAGTATCAGGAAACCCCAGCTGAGCTTCAGGGCACCTGTTAGATCTGGGCCTCTTTTTAAACTGCAGCCCCGTTGATTCAGGGCTTGGGAAACGTTTTTGTGAGTCAAGCATCTCATGTCCTATATGGTCCTGCCGCTGAACTTCAGCACCCCATCTGGATTCATCTTTGTGTGTGCGTGTGTGTGTGTGTGTGTGTGTGTGTGTGTGTGTGTGTGTGTGTGTGTGTGAAAAGACTCAAACTCCCCTGCGCCTGGGTTTTCCAGGAGAATGGAAGATTCAGAGAAGCTGCTGCCAGCTTAGCTTATGCTCTGGGGTAGGACTGAGTCCTCCCAGACGCTTCCGTCTGCCAGGACCAGGCTGGGCTACTGGTTGGACTTTTGATGGACAATTGGTAGGTTTTTCTTCCGGCCCTGCTGAGCAAGCCCAGCCCAGATCAAAAGTCAACAGCCTTCAGATACCTTGTGCCAAGGCCCGGCCACGTGGCCCTGTGCATACCTGTCCCTGCTATGTTCTGGCCGTGGGGCCATAAGTGGTTGGGCAAGCAAGCACTTACTGTTGTCTGTTTCCTTAGGGGAAGGGATGGGCATTATCCCTTAAGTCCTCTGTGGGTCTGACTCATTCCTGAACTCACTGAAGGAGTCAACCACGTGGCGGGGGTGGGGGTGGGGGGTTGGTTGGAGGGCTGACGTTCAGTCTAGCCTGGCCCACCCATCGGAACTTGCCTCTCTCACACCCGAAGGAGAGAGTCTGCCAGTGCTATTGGCCACAGCTTCCGCCGTATATGTCATGGGTTCAATCTCTCCTTGCCACGTGGACTCCTGGCACCCTGGTCTAAGGCACCACCCTCCTGGACTCTGGCCACAGTCTAGTGGTGGCTTTCCAGCTTCACCCCTGCCCTAGCTCTCTCCAGGCAGCCTGTGCAGTGCAGGCTGGTCCCCTCCTGCCCCCCTGAAGCCCCCTCATTCCCCTGCTCGGGACCAAGCCACACTGTCGTGTAACATTTGCTGGCTTGATCTCCCAGCATGCCTTTGTCCAGCCACATGAACCTGCTTGCTTCTCCCTAAACAGACCACGTTCAGTCTCACTCGGGGACACTTGAGTGACAGGTGCCACCTAAAACGCTCATTTCCCAGATCTCTGTTCAGCTTGCTCCTTCACCTCCTTCATACCTCTGCTTAAATGCCCACTTCCCTGGCCACCGGGTCTGAGCTAGTGACCTTGCCTGGCATTATCCTCTGTCTCCTCCATAGCCAGTATCCACCGGACACTGTAATCAAATAGCTTTATTTTCTGGTTTCCCGTCGACCCTGAGAATGCAAGCTCCTTATGCTGCGTTCCAGGGCGGATCACACTGTGACAACACCCTGATGCCCTAACCCCCGTGGAGGCTGAGGAGGTGTGGAGCTGGCCCTCAGTCTTCCTTTGGCCCTCTGCAGACAGGCTGTAGCTCCCCAGGTGGCCTGTGACAGCCACCCTGGCTAAGGCTGCAGACTCCCAGTCACTTTTCTTGCAAACACAGGTGGCTCAGCTCTATGTTAGTAGGTTGAGTCTGACCCTCCCACATTTATGTCTTCCTAATTGAGTTCCTGTGACCTAGAATAACTACTGACCTGCGCTGTCTCAACCAGTCCCACCCGCGCCATCAGCATGTAGCCTTACCTCCCGTCACCTCCCATGTCTCCCTCCTGAAAGCCTCCCTAAACTCGGGCAGCCAGTTCACATTGCCCCGACCCCAAATATATGTATGTTCGTGAGCATGTTTTATTTCCCCAATCAGAAATCGCCTCCCTGACCTCTGGCTTCCTGAGCCCTCTAGGAGTACCCCTCCTGTGAGGTGTAGTGCGTTCAGTTAAATGAGACAAAGACTGACCGAGCCTCTGTGGACCAGTTTCTTCCCCAAGTCAGGAAACTCACGGATGGAGACCTAGTCCTTCTCTTGAAGGTGGCTGTGTGGGAGACAAACACGGCTATGGCACAGTCACAGCCACTCTCCATGTCGGAGTCCTTGTCATGTGCCAGACACTGTGGGAAGAACCTAGCGGCTCTTCCCAACACCCTGCCTTCACACTTGCTGATGAGGAAGTGGACGGGGGGGGGGGGGGGGGGGGGGGGGGGGCGGGGGGGCGTACATGACCCATCTCAGGTCACACAGCTATCAACTCTCGAGCTGGTACATAAGGCCGGATCGTTTGCCTCCCAAACTTCTTATTTAACCACTCGGTTTTATATCCAGGAGGCTGAGGTTATGGACCTGTTTATTTATTATTTATCTATTCCACGTCATTCACCTTGGACAAAGCTACTGTGTGTTTATTAGATGCTTCACTGGGGTTTGTCACAGAGGTGACACTGGACAGAGACCTGATGGATAAGCACAGCTTTCACAGTTAGAGGAACAGGGCAGAAAGGACAGTGGGAGCTACAGCGCTGGATGGGCGAGAGGGCTGTGTGACTGCATCCCTCCTTGGGCAGGGTGGCAGACAGGCTTTCCGCCACCGTCCTAAAGCGGGGGGGTGGGGGGTGGGGGTGGGGG